AGTATATCACTCTCATATCGCTGCCTCTAGCTGTATTTATTCATTCATTTAGTTAGTTAGCTAGTCACTGTAATACAATAAACTATTGTCCACTTATAAAAATATTTATCCAACAAGATGCTCTCTAGTAAGGTATAAAGGTAAAAGTTTAATGGGCTTTAGTCTCTAAAAATTGCTGCCTATGTCATTAACAAATATCGGGTGATATTGGTTTCTAAATACAAAAAGAATGCTTTTATCCACAATTAAGTTCATTAAGTGCATTTTTATGACAAGTCTTACATTATAAATGCTGAATCCTTAATGAAAGTGTATAAAGTTGAATTATTCACATTTTAAATTTTATAATTGAATATTTGGTATAGATTCTTTGAAAATATGCTATTATTTAAATAATCTGAAATTTCTTGTATCAGGGAGATAGGAGAAATCTGTGAGAACATCTAATTTCCCAAATTTGTATTATAGAGGATGACATTTATTTATAAGAGAGGTGGTTTGGTGTGCCTGAAATCACACAGATTCACAGTCCAAAGCAAGAATCAGAAAATTTAATGGTTATAATAGAATATGATAATTTTTCTGGTAGAAGTGGACACAGTTCAAAAAAAGAGGAAGTCAGTGGAAAGCATTTCTGGAAGAAAGAATGTGAATACACAATCATGAGGAATGAAACTATTTACACTTGCAAGATAAAAGTTGTTCAATGTGGCTGGAACAAAACATTTAAGATAAATCAAAGGTATAGGCTATAGGGCAGGCTGGAGCCAGATCATAAAAGCCTTATTTTTCATCCTAAGGAGTTTGTAATTAACAATAAAGTGTCAATGATAAACCATTGACAATTAAAATAATATTCTTATTCTGGCCATGGAGTACCTGAAAGTAGACATGGCCTCTTGGCAAAAAGAAAGAAAAGAAAAGTGAAACAGAAAATAAAAGAATTTTTTTTTCAAAAGTAACTGGATAAAATACATGAAACAACACTTTTCAAGCATGGGACAAGAGTCACGATAGGCCTCTGATCCCTGAAAGAAGGGAAAAAAGTCAGGTGAATGTTGTAATTGTCCTGGCTCTCTGGCTAGAATTATTTTTTGAATTCTAGGGTAAAGAGGAACAATTAAATAAGTGTATAAGGGTATCTCAGAGTCACAGTTGAGACAGAAATTGGCGTTCAGAAGGGTTGAAGATTCTGGAATGTTGGGAAAGTGGACAACACTGGAGCACAAGAAGAGACAGAGAGAGAGGACACCAGGAATCTGCATAGGGTTACAAGGGATCATCTTGCATGTGTTGCTGAAAATACCTAGCTGAGCATACATAGGAAGATACTCTGAGCCTGGGAAAAGCCAGAGCTCACACAGTGCTGGAATATATTAAAGTTCCAAACAGTCAGAACACTGGAATGTTTAGAAGAGATCCCAGAAGAGTCATGCCTTAGTATTAGAGCTTAACAAATCATAGAGCAAAGATCATTCACACTCACACTAAATAAAATATTTTTTAAAGCTTTCAAATAATTAAGCTGGGGCTTCGCTGGTGGCGCAGTGGTTGAGAGTCCGCCTGCTGATGCAGGGGACGCGGGTTCGTGCCCCTGTCCGGGAATATCCCACATGCCGTGGAGCGGCTGGGCCCGTGAGCCATGGCCGCTGAGCCTGTGCGTCCGGAGCCTGTGCTCCGCAACGGGAGAGGCCACAACAGTGAGAGGCACGCGTACCAAAAAAAAAAAAAAAAAAACAGCTGACCCGCAAATAGCTTAAACATCTGCTATAACACAGTCCAACAATTAATAAAAGGACAGAACGATGTCCAGAACTCAACAATGTAAACATCACAGTGGTTAGAATCCAATAAAACATTACTGGCTACATATAGAAGCTAGAAAATATGACTCATAACTAGGAAAAGAAAGCCAGTGAATTGAGACAGATTCAGATATGATGGAAATTATGGAATCCACTGACAAATACAATAAATTGGCTATTATAAATATGCTAAAATATATCAAGAACAAATGAATGTAGTGATAAATAGAATATATTTTAAGAACTTAAAATATGTGAAATTAAAACTTCTCTGAAAAATACTAAAAGCAAATTAGACACTGCAGAAGAAATATTAGTGAACTTGAAACATTATCTATAGACACTTCCAGATGCAGAGAAAGCTAATGAAAGAAATGAACAGACCCTAAGATAGTTTAGGTCAATATCCATATCTATAATATTTTAAATTAAAGTTGAAATGGAAAAAATATTTGATGAAATAATGGCCAAATCCAAATCTGATGAAAAATATAAAGTTGCTCAACAACCCTCAAGCAGGATACAAAAATAAAAAGACATTTACTTCCACATATTACATACATAGTAAGAGAGCCAAGAGTGACTGCAGGCTTCTCATCAGAAAAAAGCAATGGAGAAAAATCTTTAGAATACTGATGAGAAGCAAAACAATACAAAACTATCAACATAGAATAACAAACTTAGAAAATATCCTTCAAAAGTAAATCCAAAATAAAGAATCAAGAAAAAAGAAACAAGAAGGTGTTGCCATCAGACGTGCATGTTTAAATAACACAAAGATCAAAGAAGAATTTAGGAAAATAATTGGAAAATATTTTGAGCCAAATGAAAATGAAAACACAACTAATCTAAATTTAGGGATACCTAACATTGTGATTAGAAATAAGTTTATGTCTCTAAATTCTTACTTTATAAAAAAGGAAATCTTTAAAATCAATCATCTAAGATTCCACCTTAAGAAACTAGAAAAAAAAGAGCAAATTAATCCAAAGTAAATTGAAGGAAGGCAATTATAAAGATAAGAATAGAAATAAATGATATAGAAAATGGACTGGCAGTAGAGAAAAGCATATTAAAAACTAAAAATATTTTCTTAGAAAACATAAATAAAATTGATAAAGTTCTAGATAGAGCCTTAAAAGAAAAAGTACACTGTCATTTTCATTAATGAAATAGATGATGTTAATAACAGGTTCTACAAACATTGTAATGCCAGTAATGGAATATTATAAGTAATTTTAGGGCAGTAAATTTGACATCTTAGATAAAATGGGTAAATTTCTTAAAAGAAAAGTTGCTAAACATTCAAACAGGAAGATATACAATATGTAAATATCCCATTATCTACTAAAAGTTTTAATTCACAGTTAATACTCTTCCCACAAAGTAAATTCCAGTTCCAGTAGCTTCACTGGTACATTCTGTTCAACATTTAATATATTAATACCAAGTTCACATATACTCTCAGAAAATATAAGGCCAGCATCAACCAGATTCCAAATTCAACATAGACATAACAAGGACAAAAAAAATCAATTTTTCACATGAATATTGATGCAAAATTCCTTAACTAAATGGTAGCAAGAAAAATCCAGCAATTTATAAAAGGGTAATATATTATGACTATATGGGGTTTACCTGAGGAATCTATGATTGCTATGATATTCAATAATTAATCAATGCAACTTACAATGTTATACTGTCAACAACTCAAAGGATTTAGAAAAAATATTTGATTAAAAATGAAAAACAACAATAATAATAAAGTAGTAATAATAACTGGGCCAGAAGAAAAATAAATGATTTAACTTGATGAATGGTATGTACAAAAATACTACAACTGACATCATACTTGATGTTGAAGACAATACATTTCCCCCAAAACTGGGAAAAAGTAAAAATGTCTGCTCTCACCACCTCTTTGCAACATTGTATTAGAGGACTTAGTGAAATGAGGCAAGAAAAAGAAATATAGGTAAAAAAAATTGCCTTTATTTGCAGAAGATATAAATAAAACAGAACCAAATAAACAAACAAAAAAAATGGAATCCACACACACTCATAATACTATTAGAAATAATGAGTGAATTTATCAGGGTTATTACAAGTATAGGTTAATATACAAAAATCAACTATTTTATATACTATAAGGCAAGGCAAAATTTTAAAATAGTTAAAAATAACGACTTAAAGTAACATCTGAAACTATGTACTATATACTATAGTATACTATATACTATATACATCTAATAGAAATGTGTCAGTCTGCTAAAATGAAAGCAAACATTTCTGGAAGAAATTAAAGACTCAAATGGATATATACATGCATACCTATTTATGGATTAGAAAGTTCACTATTTTTAGTATATAAAAATCCCCAATAAATCTATATTTTTAATATAGCAGTCAAAATTCCAGCAATTTACTGATGTTTCTCTCCCTTCATGTTATGCCAGTTTTCTCTCTCTCTTTTTTTTTTGGTTTTTATGAAAAAAACCATTTTAATATTTTCTATTGCTATATTGTTGAATTCATTAATCTTTTCTTCTGCAGTATCTAATATGTTGTTAATCCTATCCAGTATTTTTTCATCTTAGATTATATAGTTTTCATGTATCTCAAATTTTTCAGTTCTTATTTTTAGAATTTTAACTTGTTTGTTTTTAAAATGTCTTTCATCTTTCTCCTTAATATCCTCAGGCTTTTTTAAAACTTAACACATGGAATGTAATTATAATCTCTGTTTTAATGTCATTATCTATTATATGCATCTGTGTCATTTCTGGGTTCTTTCTATTGAATAAAATTTGTACTCATCATGGGTGATATTTTCCTGATTTTTTGCATGCTTGGTAACTTTGTATTAGAATTCAGGCATTGTGAATTTTAAATCATTGGGTGCTACATAATTTTGTATTGTTTAAAATATATTCTTAAGCATAACATTAACATGATCAGATTTACATTTTGAAAACGTAAATGCTAATTCCAAGTATAAGGGGCAACTGGAGACAATTTCACTGGAATAAAGAAGCTCAGTTAGAAAACTTGTAATAATCCAGAAGAGAATTTATGAGAGGATAATCGGTGACTAGCACAGTGCCTGTCAAATGGTAATGATGGATAATTATTTGTGTTACACTGTTTCTTAATCAACACATAGAGATTATTTACACTATCCTTTTTGACTTACAGAATATTTTATATTGGAAAGCAATTCTATGCTGAAGGAAGCTATCCTGAAGAAGAAGAGAGTAAAGTCAGAAATTAAAACGCTTCATATTGATGACTATGGTAAAGTTTTGTGCATGCTGTTATTCAAAAAAAAAAACTTTCTCTGCACCTTATAGTTTTACATATAAATGACTCTCCATCTTTAATATTTTGCTCTTTCTTTAAAAGAACTTCCTTTACAGTTGTCCTTTCCCAAAGATTTTACGGACCGAAACCAGTATGCTCTTCTGTTAATAATGTAAGTATCTTATTTGTTTTTGAAATAAAGGAACCTAAAGAGTTTAGAATTTTTCTTATGTCTCACATGGCAGTATTCTGATTAAAAAACAACAGAAGAAGTCCTATATGTGTAGATAACTGGGACAGCTGTCAGTTGTATGAGTTCCTCAAGGACACCACCACTAAATAATATAGAAGGGTGTGTAATTGCTTGTGCTTCTTGCATCCCAAATTGCACTCAATGTTACTCCTGGGAATAATGACACATATAGTTTGGTTTATGGATGTCTGCTTAGCAATTACTCAAGCACTATGCTCCCTTTGTTTTCTTTCTTTTTTTCTTTGTGATATATTTGTCATATCAAAGTTATACTAGATTTGTAAAAGCCATTTTTTTTTAATTGTGGTGAGAGCACTTAACATGAGATCTACCCACTGGACAAAATTTTAGGAATACAGTACAGTGTTGTTAACTACACGCACAGTGCTGTCTAGCAGATCTCTAGAACTTATTCATCTTGCATGACTGAAACTTTATACCCTTTGAAAAGCAACTCCCCATCCCTCCTCCCTCCAGCCCCTGGCAACCACCATTCTACTCTCTGCTTCTATGAATCTGACTATTTTAGATGCTTCATGTAAGTGCAATCATGCAATATTTGCCCTTCTGTGACTGGTTGTTTCACTTAGCATGATGTTTTTAAAGTACATCCATGTTTTCACAGGTAAGCCTTATGTTTTCTATTAGTTCTTGATGCAGCATTGAGGAAACATTTATTTCCATTGTTGAAACAATTTGTTATATTTATACTACTCTTACCAGTTTTCCTTCCTGGATTTAAGGTCAGCAGGAGACCACTCCTGTCCTCAGAAAAACCTGACTCTTAGGTTTTTCCAACTTGGAATTGACTTTGGAATTGAATTCATTCATACTTTCTGTGAGATTATATTGTGACTATATACCACTGGGCACAGAGGCCTCTAACATCTGTTGGTTAACTAACTTGATATTGATGTAGAATTGTATTCCTGAGAGTTATTAGTTATTTTCCTTACTAAGAACCCAGCCAACATATTGCTATGACAGTGCTTAAAATTGTCTACAATTGTTCAGACCCTTTTTGGAAGAGTAGAATAGAAAGTAACATTACTTGTTATGACTATTGAATGTGGACAGTAAGTATTCAGTCTGCAGAATCCAACTGCCTGGCTTCAAATTCCAATTTTGTCATTTACTAACAGTGTGTCCTTGAACAAGTTACATAACCTCTTGTAAGGTTCAGCTTTTCCAAATATAAAATGAGCATTATAATCCAGCCTATGTTTTAAGGCTGCTTTTTAGATTAAATGAAATAACATATAAAATGCCTAGCACATGTGAGTCTTATAATTATTGTGATTATAATTCATTCATTTTTATATAGATTGCATTGATTTAGATCTTTTGATAAATAGAAGCAATTTGTCATTTCATTTTAATAAGCCAAATAATACAGAAAATACAATACTTAATATTTTCACTCACTCCAGTGTTTATTCCTACATCTAATACCTTGAGCTATCTTTGTTTCTTATGCCAGGACCTTTCTCCTTTGTCCCTAATAGCCAGAGGCCCTGAAATTTCTTGGTATCTTCCTGAGGAAGTTCTTATTTGCTCTTTTCTTATCTTAACTCCTTCTCCAGTATCTTCTCTTTCACTTAGTTGTCTTTAGTGCTTTTTTTTTAATCGAAGTATAATAAATTTTAATTGATTTACAATGTTTCAGGTATACAGCAAAGTGATTCAGTTAATCTATTATAAATATACTTAATCTATTTTATATATATATATATATATATATATATATTTTATACATAGTGTATATATGTTTATCCCAAACTCCTAATTTATCCGTCCTCCCCCATTTCCCCTTTGGTAACCATAAGTTTGTTTTCTATGTCTGTGAGTCTATTTCTGTTTTGTAAGTAAGTTCATTTTTATCATTTTTTAAGATTCCATGTATAAGTGATAGGGTATGATATTTGTCTTTCTCTGTCTGACTTCACTTAGTATGATAATCTTTAGGTCCATCCATGTTGTTGCACATGGCATTATTTCATTCAGTTTTGTGACTGAGTATTCAATTCCTATTTGAACTGTATGTGTGATTTATTGGGGAAATAATCTCAGGCACTAAAATGAGAAAAAACTGAAAAAGAAATTCTCAACCTCATGTTCTGTCTCAGTCATATCTCCTTTTGGGAAAAGGGATTGTTCTTTTTATTCACTGAGAAATGAGGCTTCTCAGGGAAAGGAACTCTACAAAGTATCCTTCCTTGAAGCATGACTTACATATGCAGTTGGATGCGTAGACAGTTCTTCCCATTCACATATCCACTGGCTCCAGAGTGTGTCAGACTTTGGGGGAAAAAGTAGACAAGAGTTCAAATTCTCTCTGTAGCCTTGAGTCAGAGAAGCCAACTGGCTTGTCCTGCCATCAGATTTGTGCTTTGGCCTGGGTGATTTTTAGTTCATAAGAAGAATATAAGGAATTACACAAGACTCAACTCTCTTATTAGAAAGGAATAGTCAAGTGTTTTTTAGAGGCAGGAGAGTAGAGTAAAGGTACTGGCTTAGGAGTCAGGTAGGCCTGGGTTAAAATATCAGCTCAAAGATTTACCAGTACGTTGCTTAATTTTTCTAAGCTTCAGTTTCCTTATAAATAAATTGAAGACAAAATCATGGACTGATATATATAAACATGTCACCATAGTGTCTAGAAGAGCATAAACATTTGCAGTTGGTGTTTAATAAATTGTAACCATAAACATAGTTATTATTAGAAGTAGTAGTCATTTGAATATTTAAAAGTATCAATAGAAACATTTAATAATATATTTTAGCATCCATAAAATTATTTAATAGACATTACTAAAGCAGATAAAATAATATAGTTAGGCCTATAGAGTTTAATTTGCCACTTTTTTGTTGAAAAGAAGAATAAAAGTGAGTATTAATTCATTAGTTTTCATTTGTTTTTATATGCTGATTATACTAAATATTAATTTAATTTATCCAAACTCCTTGATTTTTAGAGGTAAATTCTCGGAAGTTTCACAGAATATGACTTACAAAGCCAAACAGGATTTTTTTCTTTTTTGATTCTATATTTATAAAATGATCGATTACTTTAAGCTACACGATCATTCCTAAAATATTTATGCTTGGAAACCCATATAGGTCAGAATGGCTTAAGTGTAAAGTGTCTTTTACCTGTTTTTTAGAAGGTTTACAATTTAAGGGTATTTTTTTTCTTAAGATTAAGTACTGTGTTCAGTTATAAGTGGACTCCACACTCGAAAAAAGAAAATAATAATAATTGTCTTTTTTTCCCTAAATGGACAATTTGACAGTGAAGAATAGTAAATAAACTAATATTTAAATGAGGCTAAGAGATGATTTAGTGATTTTGTTGTCACTACTTTATTGCTATTCTGTGCAGTGCATCTAGTACCTGACAGGCTGAGTCACTTCTTCATCTATAGAGATGGGTTCGCGTCCAGGAAATTCTATAGTGAATGCATAAGTTGGAGACTGGCTGCAGCAATCTGAGTTGAAGGAAGATTGGCCTTGAGGAAAGTAGCCTCTGGCTATCAGGAATCATCTTTCTGCTAAATTTTCATTATGGAACCTCAGAAGAAATGGTCCTTTGAGGACCTCTCTGAGTTTTCTGAAACTCAAACCTAATTTCATGATATTGAAAGTACAAGTGAATCAATGGCAACCAAATATTTTACTGTAATAGAAAATCTAAGAAGCATTGCCACTACAACTGTTTCTCAGTGGCCTCAACTTACAGTAGCTTCTGTGGGGTCATGACCCCTTTTTCTTTTTTTACTCCTATTGTCCTTTCTCCAGTCTTTCTCCTTAACGTTATATTGAGTACTTAAGACCCCAGTAGTCTATATTCACGTTCATACCTATTCTATATGCATCTAGTCTATACTATATATACTATATCCATCTATATCCATTTCAGCATGTATCTCCTTGAATTATTGTTTCTTATGTTATTCTCATTTTCTACTCCTATATGTGTAACTTAGTACAATACAAATTTACCATGTTGCTTTTATGTGCAAGAAGCTGTGCTAATGGCTGAAATGGCATCTTGAAATCTGTAATCATTTTTTTAGATTTGTGTTATCTCCGCAATACCTAGCACCCATAGTGGAACCTTATGAAAACTTACTAACTAATCTGTAATTCTTTTAATAGTGCAAGACTGAAGATTACTTGAGAGAGAGCCTACAGTTATAGATGCTTATTTGATAAATTAATATAAATCTAAAGGCCTAGAGCCTGATAGGAAACAATCTAAACAGATATACTGTTATTAGAGATGAAAGGTGTTTTCTCTGTTCACTGTGTTCCTGAAGACAAGCATATCAAGCTGAGTTTCATTCAGTACCAAGGAATCATCATGTCTTCCCATTTCATACCCTTTCATGTTCAACTTATCCATGCCACCCTCGGCAAAGGTGTAACGCAGAGAGGCAGTGACTGTTCAACACATTACATTCATTTCCAGAATGCAACATCCTTTATCATGCCCTTATGACTTAGTCTCATCTTGCTGAATTCATCTTCCTTGAAATCCTAATGAATTCTTTTTTTTCATTTTTTTTTTTTTTTTTTTTTTTGCTGTATGCGGGCCTCTCACTGTTGTGGCCTCTCCCGTTGTGGAGCACAGGCTCCAGACGCGCAGGCTCAGCGGCCATGGCTCACGGGCCCAGCCGCTCTGCGGCATGTGAGACCTTCCCGGACCGGGGCATGAACCCGTGTCCCCTGCATCGGCAGGTGGACTCTCAACCACTGCGCCACCAGGGAAGCCCCCCTAATGAATTCTTGATCATCCGTCAAGTCTTATCTTCCTGAAGCTTTCTTTCACCCTCTTCATCAGCCCATCTATATCCTATAATAATCTCCAATCTATGCCTCCTCCTATAGTGACAGCCTTCTGTTCAAAGTCTTTCCAT